AAACATATCTACGCGTAGATCATGATGTTCTGTTAGAATCGCTGAAAACTGTTTTCCAAAATTCGCAGCGGGTAGTGTACAGCATCGATTTCTGTGGAACCCAGTAGCTGTCAAAACTTTCACATTTTTACGAATAACTCGGAAATCGCAAATTTTTCAGGTAAAACGTTTGACACAAACTTAACTTAAATTTTGNNGACAAATCTGAAAATGAATGAAAAAAGGGGCGGTTCCATTTAAAAAACCAAAGTTGGTAACTACCACACGTTTATGATACACCCCGTATATTGGAAAGTAATTTTAAAATGTGGACCTTTTAAACATGAAAAACTTTCGTAGGACGTATTTTCTTGTAAAGTTCATATTTACTGAGATATCGCACTTTGACGCACTAATGAGCACTCACACTCCACTGTAAACTACGCTTACATAACTTAAATACTTCTAAAGTATTTGATACGTGAAAATAACATTAGAATTTGATTAATGTCGTATTATTTAAAAAACCTTAAGATTTAGGCATTATAAACCTTATTAAAACAGACACTTATTTTGACCGAATCTAAAAATGCAATAATATACAGGACAATCCATTAAAAAGAACGCAACTTTGATACCTTTGGTGCTTTTGGGACACCCTGTACATTACAAAAATATTTTTAAAATGTGCGCTCGGTAGGCGTTGAACAATTAATAAAATAATACTTTTTAAAAATCACACGGTTTAGCCGCAATCTTCCGTGCCGTATAACGTGACAGGGTTACGTGACAGGTATATACAATAGGGCAGAAATGACCGCGGTGCACGGCCAAACACCACCTCGGCGGTGAGGAAAGGGTTTTAGTGGGTAAACAACTTAGATGGAGTCCCACATAACCCAGAGCGACAGACCACCAGCTGTGGGAGTGCATAAAGAGCATTTCCCAAAACTCACCGAAAAAAAAAAGAAAAAAACCCTGTATAGTAATGATATATAAGCCGCTTATCAAGCGAACGAAAAATGACCCAAAATAGTGAAAACCGCATGTTGATAATTTTTTGGCAACCGAAGATATCATTAATTTTTTAGCGAAAACAATATTTACCATTTTTACGTCAAGTATTCCATATTCTTGTCAAACGCGAAGTTTTCAGACTCTCTTTTAAAATGCCTTTTACAAACGAGGAAGCTTTTGAGATCTTAGCAGTTTATTTTGAATGCTTGCAAAGTGGAGTTATTGCTTCAAGAGTGAATGCGGCGCGTTTCCCGGGTAGACATCGATATAATTACAGATTTTTTTACTCGTCTTGCTCAGCGATTACAGACAACAAGAAAAATCCACCGTCCAGTTCTTCGAAGATTCTGTAGTGATCGCTCTGAGGAATGTGATAAATGTTTTGGCATATTTTGAATTCAATCATCATTGAAGTACTAGGTCAATTTCTATGGATTTGGGGATAACCCGGACTACCGTTCGTAGGATCTTGAAAGAACATAAGTAAATCAATAACATGGACAATATCTACTATTTATTCTTTTATTTTCAATGTTGTATATTTTAATACACTCTTATCTTTAAATGTGTAACGTTAAAGTTGTAGTTAAAACATTTTTTTAGACTTCATCCTTACCACGGTGTTCGTCACCAGGCACTGTCGCATCAGGATTTTGAAAGGTGTCTGGATCATTGCCATTGGCTACTAAATATGATTCGAGATGATCATCAGTCTCTCACAAATATACTTTGGACATATGAAGCTACTTTTAACAGCAATGGGGGAGTTAATTTGCATAATAGGCATTATTGGTCCAGGACAAACCCCCAATGGATGCAGGAAGTAGAGCATCAAGGGCGATTTAGTGTCAATGTCTGGTGCGGAATAATTGGGGGCCAAATTATTGGTCCATTTATATTTGAACAAAAGCTCAACGGAAATATTTATTTACACTTTTTACAAAATCAACTACTATTACTGTTGGAAGACATACCGTTGCGAAAGCGAGTAAATATGTTTCTTCAACAAGACGGGTGTCCGGCTCATTTCTCGCTAAATGTCCGTCGATTTTTAGACAACGCTTATTCTGGTAGATAGATAGGACGAGGCAGTTTATTTCCGTGGCCAGCTAGATCACCCGATTTTACGTGTATGGACTTTTACTTGTGGGAGAGAGTAAAAGATATTGTTTTCCAAAGTAGACTAACTTCCAAACAGGACCTAAGAGACAAAATTAAGGACGCAATTCATCACATTCCTGTCGCAGAAGTAGAGGGTGCTGCTTATCTACGAGAGACAGGCTTGAGCAATGCATTCGAAATGACGGAAAACATTTTGAGCACCTAAGCAGGCTTATATCCCAAGGGTGTATTTCATCCACAGGATACTCATAATGCTTTAAATAAAACAATCGTTTCTCTTAGGACTGATTCCTAGAGCTATTCAATTGCAATTTAAGCGTTGAATTTGGTTAAGCCAGCTATTAACAACTTTTTGAACCGTTATTTGACCTGTCCCCACCACTTTATTTGACTAGCTAGAACAATAATACTCCCACACGAAATAACTGAAAGTTTGGCAAGAATAGAATTAAAGTATTTGCAACCTACTTTAGCCTGTCCTAAACTGCTAAAAATCCGTAGTTAAAATTTACTATTGCAATTTCGCCCTCTAGCGGCCATTTTGCAAACTTGAAAGTTTTTTCCGGCCATTTCCCTGAGCCACTTTACTTATATTTTTTTACTACAAATCGATACGACTAATAGTATGTGACATGTGCCGACCACCTCTCTTAGTGGCCCACCCTGTACATTTTTTCTAAATGGAAATATTAACAGAAGAAATTCTCTATATTGGAGTGACGAAAACCCGCATACTTTTCGAAGACATACACAATGTTGTGAAAATGTTAATGTTTGGGCCGGGAGTCTTAGAAATGCCATTATTGGTTCTTTGTTTATTGACGGAAACTTGACACGCATGAGCTTGAAACTCAAATTGATGCAAAAGGTAAATCAGTTTTACAGGAAACTTAGTTAATATTCCAGCAGGACGGTGCTCCACTTCATTTTTTTCTTCCGGTCCGACAATGGTTAAACGAGTGATTCCCGAATAGATCGATTGGCAGAAGGGGACCAATTGAATGGCCTCCAAGATAACCTGATTTAACACCCTTAGACTTTTTTTTTGGGGACATCTAAAGCACATTCTTTATAAGACACAATCTGCTGATATTGATGTTAAAAGGCGAATTGCAGCAGAATGACGGTCAATTTCAGATAAAGCTTTCGGAAATGTTAAGGTGGAGTTCGAAAACAGACTTTATTATTGTTTACAGGAAAATGGACAAGATTTTGAACAACTGTTAAGATAGTGCCTAAATAGATCCCATCTGTTTTATTATGGAAATTTCTCTTCCGCAAAGAAAAAGTTAATTTTGTAGAAATAAATTAAACAATAAATGATATATCAATTGTCTTAACTAGATTATCGTTCTGTTATTCAACGATTTTAGCTACTCTTATAATCATTTGTACTGCAAGAAGAGCCAATGCAATAATTTTTGTGGAAGCACTAACCCGGAAACCAACATGACAGTGCGGGAAAGGTTAATTGTTTCTCCAACTTTGAAACGCTATTAGTAAAAAATCTCTGGACAAAAAGCAACAAAATAGGATACCACTGAAAGGCAATTGAAGGCCCTTTAAAACTATGTGCCACTTGGCCCCCATTCCGTCAGATTCGAAGGCGACATCTACTCCTCCTAGGGGGTTAAAGCAAGAAGGCTACAAATATGTATTTAAGTGACCCCTTACAAATAAAATTGACGTGTCTTTCCGATTTTTCATATTTGTAACTGCAACATTAAGGGTGGAATGTTTTCAAACTGACACCCTGTATATCTGTCGCAAACTGTTTTTATTTTTTAAGAATGAGTACGGGATATCGTTAAATATTTTCAAATTGTTGAATTAAGTTTTGTGTTCTTAAGAGCTTGTTTGAAATTTAGGATATGGTGGTGTGGAGAATGGTCTGAAGTACTGGTAGATGATAGGCTACCCACCGTGCACGGGCGACTTGCCTTTCTGCAGTCACAAAACTCTGATTATTACTGGCCAGGGCTGTTGGAGAAAGCGTACGCCAAGTAAGTATTTTAAAATAAAATTCACTTACTGAAAACAGTGAAAATCGATGTGTTCTTCTGCAATACCTTCAAAACCATTTGTGTAATTCTTCTTCTTCTTGTAATAGGGATTTCTCTTGGGTATTCTCCAACTTATGCTTCCTGTGATTTGGACGTCGCACTCTCCCGCCGTATTTCGGGTTTTTTTTCAGATGGTTGGGACATGTTGGGTTTTTGCGCTCCTGCTCATTCTAGCTACATGTTCCTCTCAGTATCCTGTTCTTGCTCTCACTCAACCCAGTATGTCTGGCATCTGAAGTTCCCCTTTTCTAATGTGGTTTCTCATTCTGTCCTGCAACGCTACTCCTCTTATAGCGCTTATAATTTATATTTCGGTTGTTCTGATTATTGACTTGTCTCTGATGCTCCTCTGGGGTAGATAAATATGGGGTTGACGCATGTTTTGTTGAAGGGCACTTTACTTTGCCTTGACATGATGTTGTTTCTTCAAATCACATCTCAAACAAGAGCCGAGAACTCATCATCAACAAGGATTATTCGGACGGTAGAGATGAGATCTCTAAGATCCATAGCAGGCTACACACTAAGGGACGACAAAAGAAAAGAAAACATCCGCAAACTTTGCGATGTCCAAGATGTAGTTAGATGGTCCCGAAACAGGCGTCGCGAATGGATAGATCATGTTGAACGGATAGACGACAGCAAATTGCCGAAGATTGCTAGACATGGTCTTCCAAGATCCAGCAGACCACCAGAACGTTCACCCATACGCTGACATGAAAAGTTGGAATTTATCATCCCATATACAACTCTAAGAAAGTAGACAACAAGGCAGATGCCTTACAAAAAGGAAGTATAAGAAGATATCACATCTCTTAAGCACCCGGTTATTCGCGCGGCCTTGTTTGTTTGTGCCGTCGCTTCTTCTGGTCGGTTTTTATCTCTTGATATGTTGGCGCCTAAGTATTTAAATTGGGATACTTAACTTAATTAACTCCTTTTATTTATTTACAATCTGTCCTGAGACAGTAAGTAAAAAATGTTAACATAAGAAATAACATGTGAGTGTTCACTCATTAGTAAAGCACTCTTACAAGCATGATCACTTATTTACAAAACATTTAAATTGAATGAACAATAGACTAGTTAAGTAATTCTAAATATTTACAAGTTGAACAAGTTTCTGCGTTTCCGAAAACGAGACACCACATTAGTATTATTAAGTAACTCTATTTCTTATTCATTTGGCTGTTTCGATAATCTGTTTTTGTTTTTTTAAAAGTAGTTTATTATTTGTTCTTTCACTGTGGTAATTTGAAGGTTTTTTCTGATAATTTCATAGGGTACGAACCATGGTGCTGCTACTATTTTTTATATTGTTTTGGATTGAAAACGTTCCATTATTTCAATGTTTGAGTCTGCTGCAGAGCCTCATAATTGGATTCCATACGTCCAGATCGGTTTCAGTATGCATTTCTACATTAAGATCTTGCTCTCAAGAGACAGTGCTGAGTTCTTATTGATTAGCCAGTACCTTTGTCTGATTTTTAAGCCTAACTGTTTCCGTTTTGCCCATATATGTGGTCACCATGTTAACCGACTGTCCAAGTGAATTTCTAGATATTTCAATTAGTCTTTATGAGTATTTCTCTTTATAGGTCTTTATGAGATAGTCTTTATATTATAGAGAGAGTCTTTATGAGATATTAATTATTTATTTTTACATTATTCAAATATAATTGGGACCTGGTGTATCTTCGGAGTGAGAAAGTTACATGAGTTGACTTGTCTGTATTTATGCTGATTCTATTGTGCTTGAGCCAGGTTTCCAGCTTTACAAGGTGCTTCTGCAACATTGCTGTTGCTGTCCGTATGAGATGACGTGTAGTGGGGAGTAAACCATCGTCTGCAAATGTTCCATTTTTTATGCTTTTTGCTGTTGGTGAAGCTGCTGTGAACAGTAAGTACAGGGTGGGCTCCAGTACGCTTACTTGAGGGACTCCAGCATTTATCTGCTGGAGTGGGCTGAAGTTGCTATTTATTTTTACCTGAAAGATCCTGTTTGTCAAGTACGATGCAATCAGACAAGCAAGCTTTGTTGGGAATATTTTTTAAATTTTATATATCAGGCTTTCGCGCCACACTTTGTCAAGGGCCTGCGTTACGTCAGGAAAGACTGCCTCGCAGTATTCTCTCCTTTCAAAACAATCTCTGATAGCGGTAGTGGTCCTTTGAACTTGTTCAATTGTTAAGTGTTCTGGCCTAAACCCAAATTGGTAAGCTGAAATAAGGTGAAAAAGTAATTTTCTCCCTTTTTGCAAATAGCTTAGAAACCGTGCTTCTCAGAACTAGGGCACCTTATAAAAACTGTCGTAAAATGAGACGTTAAATTTGAAATCGAGAAAAAAAATAGGGGGTTCCATTTGAAAT